TACTAAAATAAGATTACTAAGGATTATAACTTTTAAACCTATCTTTACAAATTTAAGGAAACGACTGCCTTTAGTATAGAGATTTCAACCAAAAGTCCAACTAAAATAAGATTACTAAAGATTTTAATTATTAAGCCTATCTTTACAAATTTAAGGAAACGGCTGCCTTTAGTTTAGGGATTTCAACCAAAAGTCCAAAGACCGTAATTAATAATAATAATAATAATTAATAAAAATTATAATAATAATTTGATAGAGACTAGCTTGGATTCATTGCTAGCTAAACAACCAAAATTGACAAAAAAGATTAGCGCCATATTTAACTTCCCGCTAAAAGGAAACATTTGTAGTACCTTTTAGCTAGGGATTAGCCACAGAATGTAATCCTAGCTAAAAGACAAATCTTCCGCAAAAATTTTAGCGTCAAAATAGGATTCCCGCTAATATTTGGCTATAGATTAGCTAAGGAGACTTTCCTAGCTAGCGCATTGCTAGGGATGCGCTACGAACTGTGTCCCTAGCTAAACTACGCTCTTTTGGAAAAATAAATTTAGCGCCAAGTTAGAATTTTCGCTAAATATTAGCTATAAATTTGGCTAGGAAAAATCTGTAGCTATCATTTAGTAAGGAATAGTCCCTAGTTGATTCTTAGCTATTTTGTGACTATATTTTTAATCGAAAACGTTCGCATGAAAATAGGACTTTTCTAGGTACATCCCTAGCTAAATGCTTATATTAGCTAGGGAAGTCCCACGCTAATTTTCCATGCTAATGGCCTGTTCTTTTGTAGTGTATAACCTTCATAAGCAAGTATTTCGCTGATGCAACTGATCTCAAAGCAAATAATTTCAAATAGAGTATATTACACGCTTTCATTTTATGCTTCAACTTTAGTTGAATGATTTCTATGTTACACACTTTCATTGTATGCTTCACTTTTTGTTGAACTATTTCGTTACTATTATTATTCATGTCCTTTTATTTAGAAAAATGAGTATTTTCCATGATAATTATTGTTTGAGAGATGAGATGGCTCTACTTAGTTTTTATTCTCTCTTTTTTTTTCCTATTATTTTTTCTTCTTTTTCTTGCGTCGGATAAGACATTTGCTTTGAGTGAAGCGTATGTACCAGTATTCCCTTTATTGCAAAATCCTACATATGGTTGTTTCATATTATTTTCTATCTGTCATATTATATTTACTTGTATTATATATTTTTATTGTTTGGATTATGCTCCCCCTACAGATCAATTTTATACAAATAGTTCTACAGTGTTAAGATAGTAGAGTAAGAAACAAAATATTANAGAAACAAAATATTGAGAATTTTGCAAAAAATTGGATGAAATGGGAGTTACGTTGTTTGGATAACCTTGTCTCCTTCTAAAAGACTCTCCTCCCCATTTTTTACATGGAACTCTATTTAAATGGATGTGGTGTTGAAATTGTAAAAACTAATTAGAGAAAAGAAAAGGAGTAAAAAACTAGGAGCTGATAGTGCTTTTCTTTTTAAAGGTATGTTACTTCGTGAGGAACTTGGTAATTTTTATAAATAAATGATTTCAAAAGAGTAGCTTGCTACTATGAAAATCCATGCTCACCAAGTTTTTACGTTTGCTCATACCTATATTACATGAAGAGGGTCATTTCCACAATAAGAATGTGAAACTACAACTTTAAGTATTCTCAGTAAATTAAACTAAATCAGTGTTACTAATACTTCTATGTATGTATCGGTTCTTGATATAGTGATGTTCAATATGAATTGGATATTTTTAAAGCTTAAACTTACCATTCTACCCTTAATGAAAAGCTTTTATAACCATATAAATACTCTGAGCTCCTTTTTGACTTGTTTAGGACTACAAATTTCAAAAATCTTCATTTTTTCTTAAATTTCGTGCCAAGTCAAACATGTTCATATAAATTGGAACGGAGGGAGTATTAACCAGGGAACAGTTGAAGAACAAGAAAAAAATATAAAAAAGGGTACAAAAAAAAGAAAAGAACAAACAAGTAATTGTACTTGCCTATGATGAGTGCAGATTTATTTTGTTATATTTCTTTCTCTTTTTTATTTCACATATCCTCTTCCATCTTTTTCGGGAGAAATTCAAAAATAGTTTGATTTACAAGTGGTCATTCAAAAATAGCTACAGTTTCAAAAGTAACCGAAATTTAGCCACTTTTCATGTAAAGATAAATCTGAAAAAAATACTGTTCAAAATCCGAAAAATACTCCAGTATAATATACCAGTTTAGCATAATATACTGGAGATTGGAGCATATTATACCGAAACTCTCCTTGTATTGGAGTTCCAGCATAATATGCTGGAAGTTCATACACAGATGTACCGATCTCCAGTATATAATGCTGGAGCTTTCCGTGTTGCAGCAAAACAGTGACTATATGACTTTGCAAACACTGGTTAGTTTTGAATGACCAGTCTGAAAACTATCTAGCCCGTGTTATTTTTACTTCTTTTTTCAATAGCGGAAACTTTCAAAAATATTTTAAATAATTAAACTTAAATATGCATAAAACATAAATTACGGGAATGTATTATTATTTCTGAAAATAATATTACAATTTTTTATTGAAACTTCCTTTTCACTTTTTAGAAACAAAAGAGCTAATTTAATTTATAAATACATATAAGCTTTACATATATTGTTTGAGGAATGCCCTCATAACCAACTGCAACAATATGTATGCTGCTTGAAGTATAGATATCACTGAAAATATTTATTGATGATTTAACCAACTCTGGAATAAATTTATCTATATATGTATATTGTAAGAAATTATTTATCTCTTCTATCCCAATTGCATTTTCAGAAAAGATCATTTCAATTTATGATTGTATCTTATTATCGCGCGAACCGCGAATAAATTCACTAGTCTGAAACATAAACTTAGGGAAAAAAAATAAAATATTTACTTGCAAAATATACCGACTTTATTTTTTTACTTTGTGATAAACTTATATTTTTGAATGGTTTGGAGAATTAATACACGCCTTAAACGTAATAAATGCATGATTCCAGGTTACTATTTGGTGTCACTAGAGTATCAGATTGAATTAGGATCTTGAAACAAAATTTAGTACCATACCTGATGCCAGCGAGAGAGAGAGAGACATAGCAAATGGAAAAAAGAAAAAGACAAAAAAGAGAGAGACTTTTAGTTGTTAAAAATCTTATTGTTTACATAAGTATAATATAGAGCTACTCCATCAGTAGAGATATCCTTAAAAGGACTAGATAATAGTATTCTCTTCATCTGAATCTTGTGCAAAGCAATCCATGTAAGGATATACTAAATCACAAAGTTCCAGAGAATTAAGAATAGGGCCATAAGCTCTACGTTTCTGATCCTCTATCATGTCAAGGGATAATCCCCATTCCTTGAGCTTCTTATCGTCGTGATGAAATGCTAGGCTGTATTCCCCTCCCTGCCCTAATTGCAGCACTTGAAATTCACAAGTTCTCATCCTGTTAAGATCCTCAAACTGCTCAATAGTCCACTCGAACCATTTCATTAGAAAGATGCGACTGCTCAGTCCATGTGTAACAATTATGATGTTGGTCTCTTGAGATGGATCCTCACAAAACTTCTTCATCTCTATGTCCCTCCTTAAGCATTCAACAAAACCTGCACTTTATTAATTGTATGAGTTTAAATCTTAAGCATGAGTACCAGAGGCGGATGCAAGGTATAACACTTAAATCCTAGATCCGCCTCTGATGAGTACTGTTAAAAAGTATTTATATAATTCATAACCTAATAAAAGATAATACCAGCTAAACAGACTAAAATACTACAAAATTATCTGTATATATAACTTAAAAGGTATTTTACCACCTCCTAATTTTAATTACTAGCAGAAGAGAGGAGTGTGATTCCTCTTGTTTTTTTTTTTTTTGTAACTTTTTCTTACGTAGGTGGCTAGAGACACTGGAGGAAGACCTTCTGAGCTTAGAAATGAAGAAAAGTCAAACAGATTATTTTCTTCACTAGTCAAATCAAATTCGAGTTTACTTAATATCCACTCCAAATGAATGCTCAAGGTAACATATACTCCCTTTCCTCTATTCCAATTTATGTAAATCTGTTTGATTGTACACAGAGTTTAAGAAAAATAAAGACTTATTTGTAGTTCTAGACAAGTTAAAAAGGGAGAAGAGTATTTGTGTGGTTAGAAAAACTTCCCATTAAGGTTATAATTGTAAGTTTAATCTAAATTATTTTCAAATTTAGAAATGAGTCATTATTTTTTGAACGGACCAAAAACAAAATAGGTTCATATAAACTGAAACGGAGGGAATAATAACTTATTTGGACTAGGTTTTAACATATATTTTTTCACCATATTGATATGAGATGAATCATACTTTTCGTCTAGTTTTCAAATATTTGAATTTTGTTTTTAAGATATTAAAAAAATCTAATTCAATTTAATTTTAAATATTAGTCAAATTGAGTCTAGAAAAGTGAAATGTGACAAACAAAAAGTGAATGGAGGGAATAACTAGGAAAGTGGAAAATTACAACTTACTTTTAGAATACTTAAACTTTAATTAAAAAAGATCTAATATAGTCCGATTTTGTTCTAAAATTGGTTAAAAGAGAACTTACTTGATATGCGGTCATAAACTTCAGCCCCAGTTTCACCTCCAGTAACTCTATAATAAAACCTCCCGTACGTCACTCGTTCCTCTTTAACCTTTGCAATACTTGCAGGGTCATGATAGTTACCAAAACTCAATTCTCTGAGCCTGTACTCTTCCTTCACTCCCATCACTTTCCTTTTCGGGAACGACTGGCCGATCTCTCTCAACGTCCTTCTGGTGCGCTCTGCAGGTGAAACATAGAAGAAGACCTTCCAATTGTTAGATTCAACAGCATTTTCAGAAGTGATCAGTTTCTTGATGAGGGAGCCAGTTTGCTTGGCTTGCTCAATCCCTTTTTGGGTCAGTTCAATTTTGTGATTTGGGGTTGTTCCGTAGACGTTAATGTCAGTATTTGCTAAACATTCACCATGTCGGACTAGGATTATGCGTTTGGGCAAATGGTTGCTGCAGGTAGTGTGAGTTGTGCCATTGGTTAGCTTTTTGCCAAGAGACATTATATTTGAGCAGATAGATACGAAGGGAATTAGTAGAAAGTCTAGTAATGAAGTCTATTGTTTGTTTGTTTATGCTATTTGGGTGAATATCATGCAACAAGTTCAGGTTGTATATATATATTGGTTTTTGGTATAGGTTTGAAAGTGATGGCCCAAGCTTCAACTTGGACTGAGCATCGGAGACTTAGAAAACGTATAATATAAGCTGGAGTTTAAGTTCAATATTGCTCGACGCTGTAAAAATTATTTGAACGAGTTACTTATAAGAGAATAGTATGTAAATTTCTACTATTATCAAACAGTTGAAGATATGTGTTTTACTCGTAAATAGTTCCTATAAAAGATAACTAATTACTCTTAGATATACTTTACGTCCAATAAAACAAAGTTATTATCGAACAAAACCTTGCGAAGAAGAACTAAAATTAACATTCTCTTAATGAATACCCTGCCTAAATATTCTCTGAAGTCTGAACTACGTACGTAACGTTCCAAGAACTTTCCACATGTTGGCATCTTATGTCCTTTTCCTCTTTAATTCTGTGTTAAACTTCCTCTTTCTTTAGTGGAAGACAACGTAAGAACCTGTCAAAAGGGACTAGACAATATATGTTGATTTAACGTGTCCTGCAGAATCATCCTGGCCCTAAACAAACGGCAAAATTTGTAGTAATAAAGTTACTTTCACTTAAACATTCAAGTTACATCTTTAAAGTTACAAATTTGTACCGGACTCCGGAATCAAAATACGGTCCAATAACAATGGTCTCAAACATTAATTCTTTTCTTTATTTCTTAGATAATTCAGTAAATAATTTCTTTCAAAAATTGAATTTTAAGGCTTGGGACCTCAGAATTCATTTCCGGGCATACGCCCAAGTCCCATATTTTACTACGGACCTCCCGGGATCGTCGGAACACGGATCCGGGTCCGGGTCCGTTTGCTAAAAATATTGACCAAAGTCAACCATAATGAAATTTTTAACTCTAAAATTTCTATTTCTCATATTTTCACCTAGAAGGCTTTCCGGATATAGATCCGGACCACGCACGTAAATCAAGGTGGGGCAAAAAGGAGGTTTTTAGGTCTCGGAACGCTGAATTCACTTGCAACACAAGTGATGACCAAATTCATGCAGTACACAATACAAAGATTTAAATAGATAATTATAAATGAAAAAATTATTAAAATACAAGTTAATAATTAGGCAGGAAAAGAATAAAATATAATTTTCTATGAGTATTAATCAATATGAAACATCGAATACTAACTTATTTGTCGAAATCAAAATAATTGAATATCGTCTAAATCTACGGACATAAACAATCAAAGTTTAATTAGATACATGTAAATTTTTTTTTTACTTATTTACATATTATGTTGTACAAACCATATCACTAATTGGCTGCCGGAGAAACTAAATTGATTTGATATTTTAACTAAATCTATGGTTGAATAAATTTCAAATCTCAAAATTCAAAATTAATTAAGCTCAATGATTGCAAGTTTTGGTCAATAGAATTCTTGCAACTGTAGTTTGTCGGCAATACAAATATGAAGATTACCAAACCATTTTCGAAATAATTCGTCTTTTAAAAAATTATGCATTTATAACAAACTATATTCATGTATCTCAAACTTATGCACTATTGTTTTTTTAAGGTAGTAGCATGACAAGGTACACATACTTACTTTTTTAATTTAACAACTTAGTGCTTAATACATATCAATACTATCATTCATAATATTTTTATTATTGTAATGGTAGAATATTAAATAATTCACGAGTTTCCACAAATTTTAAGACGAATCACTCTAAACCATATATCAAACAAGAAATATATTAAAAGTTTTTATTCTATGTTTATCAATTAAACTGGAAATTGGAAGAGTCAATCTAAAAAGAATCTCAACAAGGTAGTATGTATAGAGAAAGACATAAAGTTCACCAATAAATACTTTATAAGTAAAAAAAATAAAAATATAGGAAAGGTCCTTTTCCATTAGAGAAAGTTAATTAAAACTACAAGGACATTATGTGAATGAGAAAATCAAACTACCATTGTAAATAATGGAACATGTCGAAACTTCTAATGATACTGACACATATAAATTTTTTCCTTGAAAATTGATGAAATCTTCTTTACCTAAACACGTTGAAACTCTATCGTAAAATGTCTCACGACGTTGTTTGTCGAGGATAGTGTGTGAAGATCATTGTTAATTTCTATTTTCGGGCGCAAAACTAAAGAACTCTTACGAACTAATGTATGGCTATGAGCTTGTCGTTTTTTTCACTATGGATCTCATTTGTATAGGGTATTGTAGCTTTTCACCTCCATTTTGTGAATGGAATACAAAAAGGAATGGTTGTGACTTTTAACAAAGAACATGAAACGTTGGCTTGGTTGTTTTTTAGAATATTATATTTAGATTAGTTAGGTTTTTAAGAAGGGCATTTTGGCAATTCAACTTTTATGTCAAAGGGTTCCCACTTTTATAATAATATAGATATAGATATAAATAGATAGATTTAAGAAGGATATTTTGGTAATTCAACTTTTATGTTAAAGCCACTTTTATAATAATATAAATAGATATAGATTATTTGAGAAAACTGAAGGCAATTTCTCTTCCATCAATCAGCCAAGACCACCCATGGGAGATAACTAGGAATCTCATCCTTAAAAATTCTTAATTGAGCGGTAAGAGAATATCTACTTGTCCTTCCTTCTGTTAAATTATATTCTTATGTAAACTTGGGTAAGTAAATATGTAGGTTATACATATGTTTACAGTTCGACATGAAATTATAGGATGTATGGGTCAAAATTTGACCACGGTAGTTGATTCTGCTGGAACTCCGCCCAAGCGACGGATAGCGAGAAACATCACGACCAACTTCAGTCTAAGCACCTATGGTGTACGTTAAGTTGAAAGTAACACTCAAGTGACAACAAAAAGGTGGCCGCGTGAAGATACATCAACCAGAGAATACGACAAGGGTCCCAAAATTAT